ACACAGCTGTGCTGCCGTGCGCGTCGTGACTCGTCCCAGCAGCAGAGCAGCTCCATCGAGTGAGTCAGAGCACGAGCAAAATACACAATAACACATGTACAGCGCATGTGTACAGAGTGACATGTATTTTGGTCGTTATTTTTCCCAACATAATGAATTGATTGCACATCATTTTATGCAATTTAGCTCCTTTAGTTCGTCTACATTAGCAGAAAAGATTCTGCCTGAGCCTTTGAAGCACACACGCGCACACACACGCACACGCACGCACACACACGTGCACACACACACCACATGACTTATCAACGGGAGGTGATGTATTTATTATCTGCCACAATGGCCATCCTGGCACCAGAACAGAAGAGTATTGTCATGGAATATCACCTTCCTATTTGTGCGTCATTCATATTTTTCCTCCATTCCAGCAGTTCCACTCACCTCTCTGCCTATTGTGAGCGGCAGAACAAGACAAGAGGCGGCCGCACTTGAGTGACGACACGAATAAGAACGAATAAAGGAGAGAAAAAAAACACAGCTGGAGGAAAACACAACTTCCCCAGAAATTCCCCTGTCGGAAAACCGAGAACAGCAGCCAACTTGTATAGTTCATGTTTTTCAAAGTGACATTACATTACAGTGAATTGAAAGGTCCATGTCAGGTCAGTTTGTTGGGTATCTCGCTCAAGGGTGCCTGCAACCATTAGGGGATCGAACCCAGGACATTTTGGGTGACCTTAGTCACCCCCCTATCCGGCCCCCTTTAGTATGTGGACATACCAATTTTTGGTGTGGGTGGGGGCTGGGGGGTGAGAGAGACATTGAAACGTAGGAGGGGGCGGTTTTGGATAAGAAGGGAAGCAAGACAAGGGCATCCTCTGTCTCCGCTGTGGTTTGGCAGGCAGGTGAAGCCCAGAGACAAGCCACTATTTGAGGTCTCGCCTTTCAGTTTGGTTCTGTCTGTTTCCAAAGCTCTGGAGGCCCCCACAGTGCTGCATATCATGGGCTGCCCAGAGACAAAGCAACTTTGTGGGGATAGGGATAGTTTTACTTCCTCTTCATCCACAGCCACGATTTGTGATAAGGCTTTAGTCTCTGCACTCTACTCTGACTACACTTATTGATGACAGTTGAAGCCAACAGAGATTTGTTTTTGAAGGTGTAGAACCGATAACAGAATCCTATTTACAAAAAAAGAAGATACAAAAAAATATATTGTAGGCTACCTTCGGGGGGATTTATCCTACTTAAAAAATGCTAGCATGCTTTTATTTACATTTTTTGTGTGTGTTAAAGAAGTAACTCTGGAAAAAATGAATGACCTCATGTAATCACTCACTTGTATAGGTTAATATATGCTTACTATAGTCTATATTTTTCAGATCTCCACAAGAATGACTAACCTTAAATGACAAATCTGTTTGCTTGAAGCAATGACTGCAAATACTTGTGCCAACAATGAACAACAATAGGCACTTGAATGTCCTGTTCCTCTACAAGACCTGGAAATGCCCTATACCCTGTACATTCATTCACATTTATGTAGCTATCCTGGTGCACACAAATTGTTTAAACAACACTTATGATCATTAAAAAAGGCCTTGACCATTGCTAAGACATGTATCAGTTAACTACTTATTAATCTATGTATATATCTATGAATCTGTGTCATGTATGAAGGCAACAGGTGGGATGAGGGAGTAATTTGACTTAAATGTATTTTGATGTATGGCTCACATGGCTAAAGGGCACAAACCCACCCACACCCCTCCAAACTGTCTCTTTCTCTCCCTGGGGAGAGGAGCAGGGCAGGGGATGAGTCCCTGCTTCATGACTACAGACCACCGCTGGTACTTAGGGATTTTAGGTTTTTTTGTTTCTATCTCCAAGATAACAGTCTGACCTGGGTCACTGGGGGGTTGGAAACCTCTGGTTACAGCCAAAGAGTTTAGATAAAGCAGAGAGAGAGAGAGAGAGAGAGAGAGAGAGAGAGAGAGAGAGTGTGTGTGTGTGTGTGTGTGTGTGTGTGTGTGTGTGTGTGTGTGTGTGTGTGTGTGTGTGTGTGTGTGTGTGTGTGTGTGTGTGTGTGTGTGTGTGTGTGTGTGGCAGGTTACCCCGAGGTAGCCCCCCTGGGTCGTAAAAAGTGCATGGGAGGGGCAGATAAGGGGTGCTGGGGAGACCCCCAATCCAAACGCCCCCCCCCCCCCCACCACACACACAATCAATTCTCTCCCTTATCTCTGACTAGTTCTCCTCTTGCAAATACTCCTCCAGGGTCCAACCTCAATATGACCCCCCTCCCCCCCCCCCCCATTACAGTAACCAGGGATGGGGTCCGGAAGCTATGGGCCCCTGGCATGCCTCCCCCTCCCCACCCCCAATCACCATGGCAGTGGAGACAGACTAAGAACGCCAGGCCCAGAGCGGGGGAGTGTTAATCATTAGGAAGACAGCGGTGCCTCCTCACCCCCCTCATCCCCCTCTCTCCCTCCCCTGTGTCTCTACTCACTACAGGGTGAAGTCCATTTGCTTGATACTCTCCACTGTTTGGAGTTAATAAACTCCCAGACCAGAGAGAGGCGGTGTGGATGGGTTTAGATACCTCTGGTGCTAATATTAGGGCAGAGCTGCTGTGTGCACCCAGGGGTGAGGTCTGGTCTGGTCTAGTGACCAGGATGAACTTTAAAGTTGTAAAGGAGGAAAAAGGTCCTGGTTTTTGGATTGAAAGAGTTTCTTCTTTTTTATTATGGTGCATTTCAATATGTGATTTAATATGCCATTAATTTCAGTAGTACAATTTGAATAGGGCTTCTGATTATAGAGATGCACCCATGGGAGGGAGAGAGGGAGAGAGAGAGAGAGAGAGAAAGAATAGAAAGAGTTAGAGAGAAACAGAGAGAATGTCAGACTCAGAGATTCAGCGGTAGATTTAGTGAGAGCAACAGTGTGAAAAAGAGGAAGAGATTTACTGAGGGATAGAGAGGGAGCAATAGATTTAAGTGAGAGCAAGAGAGAAGAAGGAGTGAGAGATGGAGAGAGAGAGACACTCAGAGAGGGGGGAGGAAGAGAGGGATTCATTAAGTGAGAGCAAAAGAGAAAGAGAGCAAGAGACAGAGACTCAGAGAGATAGGGAGGGGGAGAGTGAGCAATAGATTAAGTGAGGGAAAGAGAGAGCGAGATACATAGAGACTCAGAGCAATTGGGAAAGAGCGTGAGCAATAGATTAAGTGAAAGCACAAGAGAGCTTGAGTGAAACGAAGAGCGAGGGAGACAAACACTCAGAGAGAGATCAGTTCACTGCTCATCCTGAATCTCCCCCACTAGTCCTCTGTGTTAGGCCTGGGCTCTGAGGCCCCAGCCTGGCCTAATCCCCCCACACCCAAACCGGACCACAGACACATTTCACAGGCTTGTGCCTCACAATGCACACACTGGGCCACCAGACACTGCTTTGTGCATCCTATTTGTATAGAGTGTGTATGGGGTCTGAGGTCACAACATGGGGTGAGCAACAGACTGTGTGTGTGTGTGTGTGTGTGTGTGTGTGTGTGTGTGTGTGTGTGTGTGTGTGTGCGTGCGAGTGAGAGGAAAGCAGAGGAGGAGGGATTCTGGGTATATGACTTTCACATTCTCTCTTTCATTTTAACCTTGAACTTTGCCCCATCCTGCACCCACGCACACACACACACACACACACACACACACACACTGTTCCCAACACAGCTGTGTTCTATGGGAGCAGGACAGAGGTGGTGGAGGTGGAGGAGCGACCATCACCTCCACAATGTGTCTTTCACAAAGCCTCTGCCATGAATGTCACAGAGAACACTGTTGACTATAGTCTGTCACACACACACACGCACACACACACACAGATACACACAGCACACGGCAGTTTCACAGCTTTTTGTATCAATAATAGCATGCAACCACATGGTGCCAGGAGTTATATTGTATAACAGCAAGATCAAAAGTGTCTGGTGGTAAATATTAGACACAATACTGCCACAGAACCAACAGATCTCACCAACAGAGATCTCAGCTGAATGAACAAGTACACAGTGCTAACAAAACATGTATTTTGTTCTGTCTGTTAACTTCATCAAAGTCTCTCTCTCTCTGCCTCACCAGTGTCTCTGTGTGTCTCTTTCTCTGCTTTGACTTTAACTCACTTTCCCACAGTCACTTTCTGTGCCAGTCTCTCTCTCTCTCTCTGTCTCTCTCTCTCTCCTTGCAGGTGGCCCCGTTCTCCGCTCTTAGCGGGGTTGGGGGGGGGGGGGGGGGGTGAGGTAGGAATTCACATGCAAATAGGCCACTCGCTCTCTCAAGGAGAGAAGCGAGGATGAATCTAGTCATAATAACCCTGCATAATGAAGCAGCTTGGGGGCATTGTGCATGGAGCGATGTCCCCTCCCTCTTTAGATACACAACCACAGAGCTCAGCATGATGTTAAAAAAGAGATATACTGTATTATACACCGTGTCCTGCACACAGTCACACGGTTTGACACAAGTACAAGTACACAGTACCATAGCATAGTCATCAAAGGTGTTCCTCGTTGTATCTACTTAATTCTTTATTCTAATCTCTTTTGAGACTTCATTGTGTCAAAGCAGCCTAACTACTGTTTTGATTTTTTAACTGAATTCAGATAGCCGACATGTCATGAATAAGCAGGTAGGGGTTAGGGCTGACGCCAGGTAAACTGCGGAGTCTGCGGCCAACATTTTCTTTGGAAGTCAAATACCCTGACCGTTATCCAACCCTATTCCCTGTCATGCTGAAGCAACAGCAGGGGCAGATTTCATGGCCCCTCGCTGGAGATGAGTGCAGCGTTTAGCGACGGCCCTCTGGAAGGATTGATCCGGACATGGGAGCGTGTTACAGTAAGAGAACCCGGGACGACCCGCATCGGACCTCGAGATCAGAGACCATCTCACAACCATCACACTGACAGATTTCTACCTGATAGTCTTATAATACATACATTTGTCAGCATGCGTGGCCCCATTAGGAATCGAACCGCAGACCCAGGCGATGTTAATGCCATGCTCTACCAGTTGAGCTACACACAGGACCAAACATGTATGAAATTAAGAACGACAAAAATCAAATGAACTACCAATAGGGGGTAGAAAATAAAACGGCGGAACGCCGGGACATTAATATTCAATTTTCTGTGCACATTTCTGTGCACAATATACTCTGCATACTACATGTCCACTTGTATATCTCACATTGTTATTGTGCCAGCTAAAGCAGCATCGCTATGGTTACCGGGTTAATGGAGGGCCCCCCGAGGACACATTGGGAGGGGGTCATTCCCTCTAATCCACTGGGAAAGGAGTGCACCGAATAGAACAGGTACTAAAGCTAAACCAGATAAGGATTTGGAGCCACAGTGGCCTCCGTAACTTCCACAGGAAATGGGCTACAAACACACACAGACGGGCCGTGGTCTTTTATGGCACCCAAGACTGTTTTGTTTTCATTTTTGTGTGGAGTCAGCAGAAGGAGAGCTGTGGGAAGGGAAGCGAGGGAGCAGCAGGTAGGCCTACTCTGAGATCAGACGCTAGCGGTCAAGACCTGGGAGGGAAAAAAAAAACGGGAAAGCCGGACGAGTCTTGTGACTCTGATTATCACGCACCAGCAAACACACACGCGGTGCCAACGCCCACTGCCAACACATGCACACAGACGCACAGCAGACACGCAGAAAACAGTTAGAGTGCATGTAGTTAGCTTTGTGTGTCTGCCAAAAAAATAAACCTGTGTGTGTGTGTGTGTGTGTGTGCATAGTCAAACTGTGCTGTCTAAGTGCAGGATGTGGGTGCAGGAATGTGTGTGTGTGTGTGTGTGTGTGTGTGTGTGTGTGTGTGTGTGTGTGTGTGTGTGTGTGTGTGTGTGTGTGTGCCCAGCTGTGCCAAGTTTCCTCTTTGGCAAATGTTTAGTGATCTTGTTGTCAACACTAAGCACACTTTTTTGGGGCAAAGAAAAACCCACACCGGTTCAACAACAGCGTGTTGCACTTGTCTCTCAGAGACGAGGTAAAAGGTTCTGTTACTGTAACACATGACGCTCAGCCCTGGATACCATCGAGTCTAAAAGTGCATCTGGGGCGTGAACAAATTAACTGTTCAACGTCGAGTCGAGCCATGCGGTAGAGTATCCAAAAACAATGTATTTCGAGCTCCTTATCATCCCATAAAACGTGCATGACGTCCACATGTACACAGAAACATGATCGACATGCCAGGGAGGACTCAGCACATGCGAAACGATCCGCATCGCACGGCTATTTAAGTCCAAGCAGCTGCATTGTTGGAATCAGTGAAGGCGCTCGGTGGAATGGGAGATGGAGAAAGAGGGAGCCCGACTGACCAAACGGCGCTTCATCCCGGTCCACCTTGCCCCAACACAAAAACCACCCCAGGAGTCCCCTCTCCACAAGCCTGTCCTCCACCCTAGCCAGTGTCCTCATACATCTTGGGAGGTCTGGGGAAGAACATTTGAGTGTCGTCATTGATCTCTACAGTAGGCTTTACATTGGAGACACTGTTTTATATCAGGGTATTTAATCGAAGAGGGATCAATCATAACCAATTTAATTAACGTGTCAGCAAGATATTTTCCATGATGAAGATTGTAAAGATTTGATTTTTGGGAACTGACCAGCTGTTATGGGTGGGGTTTGCTTCTCTGGGAGCTATATTTAGAGCGGTGATACTGATGCAAGTTAGTGAAATCTTTACTGAAAAGTTCAGCGAACGAGGATAGGGTGATGACTACATTGAACAAATTATTCAATCAATGCCTGGTAAAAAACACCACAGCTCGTTCTCCTATATTGGATGTTACCAGCTAAATCGGAATTACAAAAAGCTGCATTGGTCACCTGCTTTTTAATAACACTAGAACCTAAAAAGTAATGTCACACCCTTATGGAGACTGCTGTAAATAGATTTTATTTCGGAAAAGATTATTTATAAATTAACCTACCTCATGGCAGTGTGGCCAATCAGGACCAACTATACACAGTAGTGTCTCATAGGAGCCTACAAGCTCAAATGTTAAACTCTGACAAGACATGCTCTTTTTTTAAAACAGTGAAACACTATAGGATAGTGTAAAGTGCTTTTTGACAATTGGACAAAGCAAACAATGTATACTGGCAGTAGGTGAATTAATGTAATGGTGCACGACAACACTTATTAGAGTAAACAAAAATAAACAAAAATAAAGACAAATATACATACAATGATTTTGAACAATAAAAAGTAACACATGATCCACATTGAAATTTTGGATATTAGATTCCTCCAGTGTTCACAGTTTGTTCGTCGGGCGGGGGGGGGGGGGGGGGGGGGGCAAAATGGCCACTTGCCTCTACCTGTCTGGTGTGTCAACGTCCAAACCTTCATCACTGATCAACACCCGTCTAGAGCATTTTAAAATCACTTTTGGTCACATGGTTTCAGAATAGCCATTCAATTATCCCTTCACACATCATCCACAAATACTTTCTCCATCACACCCATTCTGGCCCTACGTTAGGAACCATACGCTCTGAACCCTCTAAACATTTCACAATCCATCTTCGTCAACAACATCGTCATCATCATTCTTATCATCAAACTGTATTCCTCAAGGGTCACTTCCCTGGTCAGCAGCTATCCTAGCAGTGGGGATGGGGGGGGTATCAAATCTGAACTGATAAAACTCAGCACGTTCATCATATACTGTAGCGGAAACAGATCCATCTGGGAGGAGGAGACATCCCAGGTCCCATCCTTCACATTTAGCTTCCTACCAGACATACATTTTCGGTGGTTTCTTTAAAGTCCTGTCTTTATTCTGTAACTCAAAGATCATCTCTTCTTCTTCTGCTGCTGCTGGCGGAGGGCCTTCCGGCGCTTCAGGATCATGTCGTGGAGCTTCTCCAGGCCATCGCGCAGACCGTCCCCGATGATGGCGCAGGTGGGCTGCAGGTGCCACGGCGTGCCGGGCCCCAGCTCCTTCAGCGCCAGGCACCGCTCGATTTCCGCCAGCGCCAGAGAGTTCCTCAGGTCCTGCTTGTTGGCCACCACCAGCACGGGCACGCCCTGGTTCTCCGTCGTCTTGACGATGCGGTGCAGCTCCGTCTTGGCCTCCTCCATGCGCTCGCCGTCCACCGAGTCCACCACGAACACGATGCCGTCGGCACCGCGCGTGTATGACTTCCACAGCGGCCTCAGCTTCTCCTGGCCACCCACGTCCCAGAAGTGGAAGGCGGCCGAGGTACGGTGGCTGCCGAGGGACAGCCTCACCTTCTCTGCATTGAAGCCCCGGGTGGGCACGGTGTTGACGAACTCATTGAAGCGCAGCCGGTACAGCATGGTGGTCTTGCCGGCGGAGTCCAGGCCCAGGATGGCGATGTGGAAGGACTGGAAGAAGGGAACGGCAGAGAGGAAACCGGGCTGTTGTGAGAATCCATTCCCCATCTTTTTGTTTTCATGAGGAAGGGATTGTTTTTGGGTTTAATCCAATCGGTATCCAAGAAGATTATCCTCCGGTCTGGTTATATTCCCAGCAAAACAGAGAAAAACGATGGCAGCAGTTACCTGTAAATGTCACATGTTACTCTGAGTCTCACTTCCTGGAAGGTTATTTACACAGCAAGGTATGCACGTGCAGCAGGGGTCCACTGGAGCACATACCGACACATCTAACCTACAGCATTTCACATGTAAAAACAGTTACTAGGCTACGCGATTTTAAGCCCTTTAAAAGTCAAGATGCATGCCCACCCCCAGCAACACCAAAAACCAACCGCTCCTCCGCCCTGCAAAAACTCCCGTTTAACCCAACAGCCGCGCTGCCGCGTCCTCTCCGCAGCGCGGGGCGGGTCCTAGTGGCGCGTGGGGGTTTTTGGGACCACCCGATTGGCCAACAAGGGTCGTCAATCACGGCTCCGTTGGAAACCACAGTCACCTGTTGCCCCGATACGTCCACGTGTTTATTGATCGTCAAACATCGATATATATCATTTGCTGATTTTACCTAACTTTTAAAGTGCATTTTCTTATCGGAGTTGGTTGCACGGCTTCCCCCGCAGTTTGATACCGCATGGACGCACGACAATACAATCACGTGCGAGGTGCAAAGGTGCAAATTGATCGATAATATCAGATACCGAGGATGAAAGTTAAATAAACGACGTTATAAAGTCGAGACTTACCGCTGGTTTGGACGTGAGTGGACAGCGTGTGTGTGTGTGTGTGAGCTGCCTGTTCGGTCGCTCTGGCAACCCGCGGGACTGAAGCAGGCCCGCGAGCGCCGCCCCACGTCGTCCCCGTGTTTACCTTCAAACTGATTGGTCGGACCAGACGGCCTCGCGGGACCCGCCGCCCGCCGGGGGGACTTCATGCATGAATCCGTTGGCTGAAATCAATCATACGTTTGTTTTAATGTTAGGTAGCCCTAACACTTTTACAACTTGTATATACGTTTTTTTATGATCGGTTTTATATGAAGGCCTATTACTTTTTTTTTTATTAATATTTTTTTTAATTCATTTATGCCTGTTTTTTTATTGGCTTAAATAAAAGCCACATTAGAATTGAAATGTTAATTTTTTTAATTAACAAGTGAACATAGGGCTATTGGGAGGTTTTGTTCCTCCCAAGTTTACTTTCTATTGACTTAAATAAAAGCCACATTAGAATTGAAATGTTTTTTTTGTTTTTTTAAATTAGTCAGTGAACATAAGCCTATTTGAAGCAAAACACATTATAAATGCTGTGAATGTACAAAACATTCATTTGTTTTTTCCATTCCCAGCCTACAGCCATTGTGTATGACAGTGTTGGAATAAGCATTGCGTTAGCAGAGGTATTTCTGTTATGCTGGACCATATGCTGGCTGGCCCTGGACTCTCGGGGCGCGGCGACCGGACAGTTGGCAGGGGATCCCCGCGGGCCAGCGACCAGCACATCGATCTCCATGGTGACCTTTTCCAGTCCAGAAGAAAGGCTGTTTGACGAATGAAGCATGATACTAATTTAATACCACAAGATTTACTTAATTAAAATTCATAAAAC